AAGGGCGCACATGAAAAATTCTTACATTGGGTTGCAGTGATCCTTAGTTACTCCACTGGCTACATCTCGCTGTTTTGTTTTCATTAATGTAGGACTACACAAGCTTGTTTCAGAAACATGATTAAGTGAATCTAATTAAATTAATAAAATTCTATATTTATAAGAAAAACGGACGAATTAAAAAGATAATAAAAAAGTTACGACAATAAGAGCCTTCAGTTTGATTGTTTAATGCTTACAAAAGTTCTTTTACGAACAGAGTATTTTTGGATATTTTTTTTAAAAATTTCTAATAAACGATATTATAATCATACGATGTTTTTCTGTTTGTGGTATTAGATTACACTATTTTCTCCACAACAAAACGAAGATAAGGAAACATGACGGAGCTGTCCTTGGGAAAAACGTGTCTTATTTTTAGAGGAGAGCAATACACATGGAAGTTTATCGTTGAACTTTATTTTTATTACAGGAAACGATATTTACGAGGTGTGCTCAGTGCCGGCCTTAGACGTTCGGCGTCCCCAAGCAATGATTTCATCTCCTCCTCCTAAATAATTAAATTTATTTCCTAAGCTGTTTCATATTATGTAACATTTGAATTTTATTGCATTCGACATTTCTCTAATACAGTTGCTTTATTGGTAGGTTAAAATTACATATTTTAATACATTTCATAGCTTCTTTTATGTCTTACAGGTGGGGAGCGCCCCTGAAGATCAGCCGGCGCCCCCGCGGCAATTATTCCGGTTGCCCTGCCCCAAGACCAGCACTTGGTGTGCTAGCGTAATTATCTACGGTTTCACAGATTATTTGTGAAACTATTAAACTTCGTAAATAGTTTCACTCATCGTAATCTACAAATATTTTATTTACGACAATTCTCGGAATTGGGGCGTTTTCAATCTGGAGGACGACATACTTTGTCTATTTAATTAGGTACTAAAAACTCGTAAATACTCATTTGCTTCCCACTTGGTTCGTAAGATGATCTGATCACAAAATCGATAAAAAAGGTGGCCTACAAAAATGTTGGGCCGTTCGGCCTATATAACTTCGTTATTTTGACAATTTGGGGGCGTAGGTCACGCCAACGGCTCAATATTTTTGAAGGCCACCTTTTTTCCCAACTTTGTGTGGAAGGTATCATACGGTTCATGTGGAAAGTAAATGGGCATTTACGAGTTTTTAGTAACTGATTAAATAAACAAAGTTTGTTTATCTGCAGATTGAAAACGCCCCAATTCCGAGAACTTTCGTAAATAAAATATTCGTAGGTTACGATGAGATAAAGCTATATACGAAGTTACACCCAGATGTTAGTTTGAATCAGAGCCGGTCTTTGACATTCAGCGGAATGAAATCATCTCCCTGTCCTCTAAATAAAATTTTCTTAAGCTGTTTTATATTATATAATATTTGAGTTTTTTTCCATTCAACATTTCTCTAATACAGTCGCTTTATTGATAGACCAACATTTATTATTTTAATACGTTTTGTATTTTTTTTAATTTCTAACAAGTGGCAAGCGTCCCTAGAAATCGCCTCTCCAGGTCGGCGCTCTGCGGCCCCACCCTAAAGCCGGCACTGGTTGGATTCGACCATTTAACTGATGCTCTGTGTTCAACAAAAACGAGAATGTTGACTATATTATCTCTAATCAGTGGAGGATCTACGATTTAATTTTAGGATGGTCATTTTCTTTTAATTACTCTAATTATTGTGAAAGCAAAGGAAAATAACTACGTAGAAAATAATAATGCTTTTATGGATTATTTTTTCTTGCCACGTGCTTATATTCAGTGGCTGTATATAATTTTAAAAGCGTACATGTTGTGATTATTTAGGCATTTAGCTCAGATAACACAGAAACGCAAATGGACCCATGAGGCCATTCACTCATTTTGGGTAAAGGTGAGAGAGAGGGGAACTTTAGCTCAAAACATCCTCTCTCCACCCTGGATCCGCAAGTGTCTCTCATGAGTGATCGGGGTGGCCGAATGGGCTAACGTGTATGCACAGCACCACCGTTGCCCGGCAACATGATACATGGCATTACGAGATAAAAGTGACGAGTTCGCGTCCCGGTGCCGAGGGAGTCTTTTAAATCCCCGCCCTCGCTTCCTGGCCCGGGAAAACTCCGTATAGCCCTAAAGGCAAGGAAGGGGAGGAGGCAAAAAAAATTAAAAAAAAATGTCTCTCATGATTATTTAAGATTAATTATAGGGCAACTAAATATATCAGTGCCCGCTCCTACATAATATCCTGATAGAATTATTATTTAGGCAATAATCAAAAACTCATTACTCATTTAAGCTGAACACCTTTTCTTTACCATGGTACATTTAATTAAGGAGGTAGAAATAAAATAAAATGAGATTTTTAAAATAAGGGTGAAATTCATATAATCATAGGCATAGACTTTCCATTCTGTTTGGTGAGGGGAAGAGGGTGGCGATGACCCCCTTTCTTCCAAAAAAAGTCTCCTTAGCTTATATTATTATAAAAATTATAAGTGATAATTAATATAATCAACATAATTATTGTAAAACGAACAATAAAGTACCATATATTTAAAAATAAATTTATATATTAGTTTTTTTTTTTTTGCATAAGGATGTATTTGAAAATACTCTAACAAAGCAATTGATTATAAACTCCCCGTCAAAAGTATCGCAATACTTTGAAATTTTTGAATTTTTCAAAAACGTCGGTTTTTTCATAATACAGAAAGGTTCTGAAGTCTATAATGAACATTTTTGAACTGGACAACATTTCTTCCAATAAACAAAAAAGTTAGAAAGCTTACTTTTTAATATTTTCCTTTTTCACGATTTTAAATTTACATTTAATAAGACTTGTTGCCCCTCTGGCTTAAATTAAACTGCTTCCACTCGTTTTAGATTGGCATATTTGTAAAAAGATTTTGAAGAAAATGTTAGGGTATATTGTCCCACTCCTCCAATACAACTGCCTTTAGCATTTCAAGGGTAGTAGGAGGTGAATCTCGTGACCGAACATTTCTTATGAGATGATCACGAAAGTGCTCGATTATGGTCAGGACTTCTTGCTGGCCAATCAATAGTGTGGATATTTGTGGTGTCCAAGTACTCAGAAACACATCTTGTCTTGTGAGGGCTGGCATTATCATGCATGAGCAACAATTCAGAGAGTATAAACAGCACTACATGATCTTGAAGAATCATTTCTACATATCTCAAAGCACTCAAGGCCCCTCCTTAGATTGGCACTAACTCGGTACGTGCCTCCCAAGATATGTCGCCCCAGAACATGATTGAATCCTCCTCCTCCCCCAAATGGTTCAGTTTCTAACGTGCAGCACTGACTATACCGTTCTCCAAACTCTTTCACGGTCATCTGGTCTGTTAAGGGCCAATGTCGTCTCATCAGTGAATACAACTTTTTCCATTCCTACACAGTCCAAGATTGGTGTTCTCTTGCAAATCTGAATATCTTTACGCGGTGTTCTGCGGTAAGAAGAGGACCGTATACTGGTCTTCTTGAGCTAAGGTTTGACTCTCTCAGTCTTTTAATGACCGTTGACTTCGAGATTGATATCCCGCGAACACCAGCGATTAAGTTTTTAGTGGAAGCTGTAGAATTACGCTTCCGAAGTGCGTGCATTTTATTTAAGTAGTCATCTATAGGATTAGTAATTCTGGGAGGCCCTGGTCTCAATCAAATTGGAGACCAAACAATTAGAACCTTTCTTCATGAAAACGTTTCCAACAGCACCTTTTTTAAGAAAAGAACAACACTTTCTTATAAGAAATATACAAATAATTATCGTGACCAGTTTTATGAATCCCATGGATTCGTCAAGGAGGCTATAGTTGCCGGAGGTTACAATGCGTCCAGATCTGTTGGAGCTGAATAAAAACTGGGTCTGGGAGAAAAACTGTATTTTTTTGTGCTAGAATAAAAGCTTTTTCGAAAGAATAAATAATGTTTTTTTCTTCACTTAATTTTTCTCCATCATGTATTGCACCTGTAAGAATCAGTTCGGAGTCAATAGGAAATAACTACGACTGGAACACAAGCCTTCGCATTTCACGATGGCCAAAAAACTACATCACTTCAACCTAAGAGCCAACTTTTGCTCTTACATTCTATTCTTGGTTTCACAAAATCTCGACGTGAGCCACAGCCTGGTGAGGTGACGCAATCTAATAAACCGTAAGATTAATAAAAATGGTCATGATAATAATTTGTTTAATAGTGCATTAGAAAGTTCGTCTATGAGGATGAATTCTTTTTTCTTTAAATAGGTATTTTTGGAACTTTTCCACAGTCCAAGGGAGGGCGCGCCCCCTGGCAGAATTCGCTAGAGCTGGTCACTATAATAATGTTTTTTTTATATTACATTAGGAAATTCGCCTATGAGGATGAATTTTTTCTATATTGGTCTTTTCTTTTAATAGGTGTTTTTGTAACTTTTTTAGGATTTTTTCCACCATCCAAGGGAGGGCACGCCCCTGGCAAAATTCGCTAGTGCTGGTCACGGTAATTTTTTTTTTCCATTAAATTAGGAATTCGTAAATGAGGATGAATTTTCACTATATTTCTCTCTTCTTTAAATCTGCGTTTTTGTAACTTTTTTCCAGCTTTCGAGGGGTCAGGGAAAGGGGGCGCCCGCAACTTGCAACTTCTCCAGAATCCTTATCAGAGGGTTATCAACTTCACTTCAGTTCGATAAATCAAATTTACTTTAGATCTTACGTTGATAAACAAGGATCCGTCCAATTGTATTGTAATCATATAAATGCTTCATTTAGTTACTGTAGGATTTTTTTGTTTTTTAACGAAATACCTTTAAAGTTTGCATTACGAATTTAAAGATACGCTCACTATGCATGAGAGAGTAAGATATTCTAGCTAGCATTGCTTAAATTGTTGGGCTTCTCAATTACTATTTTTAAATAAATTGGGGATGGCATTAATTTTTAATTTTCAACAAGGAAATATTGATAAATACTTACTTCAAAAACAGGAACGACGTCCATATGTGAATTAAGAAGAATGGAAGGAAGCTGTGGTTGTGAACCCTCTATAGTTATTATCAAAACAGGTCGCTGGTCATCAAGATGAAAGACAGAGGTCTGAAATCCGTATCCTTCAGCTATTTTTTTCAAGAAATTAACGCAACCATCTAAAATAATATAATAAATAAAAAATATATATTTAATATTTAAATATCAGATGAAAATACTTGAATATGTTAAAAAATATTTAAAATTATTAATGATTACCGTAATCTGGTTCAGGATGGACCGACCGTATTTTTAAATAATTTCTAAAGTTACTGATTGCACTATCCATTTTAAATATTATACAAAAAATGAGGCACTGTCGTTATTTTTAGTCAACCACCTTCTAATTTTTAAGTGTAAGAGTGTAACTCCTTTAGTTCCCCCTTAACTTTATAACAAACTATATATGTATATTACATAAGAACAAATATTCAATTTAGGACAGAAGTGGGGAGGGGTTATAATGTGGCAACACTGCAGTGTTTATAAATGGCGACCTGCTTGTTAAAATAGTAGTTATTCGTAAGGTATTGGTTAAATTATTTCCTCCTAGAGGATAATTAGTGGTATCATGACAGAGCATGTAGCAGTAAAAAACTTTAGGGAATATCTAAGGATTCCGTCCGTTCAGCCAAACGTGAATTATGGTAAGTTATGTATTTGACATTTATCACTTCTAAAAATCGTCCGGTACATTTAACTCATCTCATAAATAAATGACATTTTACATTGATTTATTGTGTCTTTTATTTCTTAATCATCGCACGTTTTAATTGTTACGGCTGTTAAAGAAATAATCTGATCTTTTGATGACAGATTTTGTATGCACAGCTTTCATGTCTTTCACATTATTTTTTCTGTTTCTTTTTTATATATAATGTCAGTGTATGATAATCATTACTTAATTTACTGGTTTTGGGTTTCAGTCTAGCAGAAATCAACAAATGGCTTAAATTTGTTGGAATTCGTGAAGTTTAGCTTTCAAAGTAACAGTTGACATTTTCTGGTGGGACATTCATACATGAACTTATCATCTTAATTTCATCTGGTTTTCCATTTATATTTTATTTATAGATGCTTGCGTTCAGTTCCTCAAAAAACAGGCCGCTAGTTTGGGCTTACCGGTGAATGTGTGTTTTCCAACCCCCAAGAAACCAGTGGTGGTAATAACATGGGAAGGAACAGAACCGAAACTGCCTTCAATTTTACTCAACTCACACATGGATGTAGTCCCTGTTTTTCCAGTAAGTCATACTTTTTATTATAATGTTATATTAATAGTTGTACGTTTAAAGTTGTGTGGCAGTTTGTATTCCCATTGGAAATTTCTTCTGGTCATTGTTTATTTTTTATCACACTTGAAGTAATAGTTGTAATGTAATGTAATGTAATAGTTTCAAATCTTAGTATGGTTTCTGCAAAATATAATGTCCTCCCTTTTAAACATCTACAGTACTGGTGTAGTAATATCACATCTAAGTAAGTATATAGCATTGTCATGTCAGGTTGACAGGTGCATCATGATCACACTGTTCTTAGAATGCTGAATCGAGCCAAACACATCTGCCTATCCCAAAAAAGCTAGGGAGTTTATATTATTATAAAAATTTGGTGTGATAATTAATATAATCAACATTAATAAAGCAAACAATGAAATACCACATATTTAAAAATAAAATTGTATATCTGATTATATATTATTTATTTGAAAATACCTTAACAAAGCAATTGAATATAAACATATTTTTAATTTGAAGATGTGAAGCAGTGAAATGAACTCTTGATTCTCCAATGCTTCAAATTTGCTACAGGAAATTTGATAATATCTTAACGTAAAAATGGAAGGGTGGGCATGAATAAATCATCAAATCATGGGATGTATTCCTACATATAATCAATCATCTATGATCATAAATTAAAATTTCAATAGTAGGAACATAGGCTGTAGTAAAATACTTGCGTACATACTTTCATCCCTTAGATTAGCCACATAATGGACTTTTCCTGTTTATTAATTTTTGATAACATATTTTATTCATTCATGTAGATAATTTATTATTGATTTTATATTATTTAAATATTTGTTCTTCGAAATATTGGGGGGCGAGACGATACTCTCGCTTCTTCCCCTCTCCCTTCTTCCTGAAGTTTGCACCTATGCAAATAATATTCAAGGATGTTATTTTATTTGTTCCATCAGAAGTTTAAGTGATGAGTATATTAGTATATGAGTATATTTGAATGTTTAAGGCTGTGAGATGGAACCTCAATTCTGCGATGCTTCAAATTAGCTACAAAAAATGTGATTAATGTAAAAATGGAAGGGTGGATATGAATAAATTATAAAATCTTAGGATATGTTGTTACATATAATCATCTATAAATGTAAACTAAAATTTTAATAATAGGTACACTGGTTGTTGTAAAATACTTATGTACTTACTTCTATCCCTTGCCTTAACCATCTAATTGTATTTTCTTATTTGATTTCAGATTACATATTTTATTGATTCATGTTCAAATTTTTTTCTTTAATTTTTGATCTTTCGAATATTTGGAGGAGCCGAATGATAATTGCGCCCCCAAATATTCGAAATATTCGCGCTCTATTATAATTTGGAATACATTGAAGTTTTAAATTGCTTATATTTTTGTAATTGCGGTTTTTATTTACGGCTTAACTTGTAACTGCGGTTAAATTAGTTTTTATTAAAATATATCATTTTATAAATTTAACTTCCAAAAGTTACTTTAATTTTCTTTACAAATTCTAATGTATAATGTTAAATTTTCCAGTAATTAAATACTTTAGTTATAATGCTCTATATTGAATGAAGTTATATAATACCCTCAAATATTCTCTTCATGCTATTGGAATTTAATTAATATCTTGTTCTCTACTGATTGAAATTTATTTAAACTATATTTATAAAATAAGATAATAATCTATCAATTATTATTATTTATTAAATATTAAATAAATCTTTATATCTAGTCATCAAGCTAAATAACCTGATGAAGGAGGGTTGATACAATGTATTAATTATTTTGTGTTTATTTTAATAGTGACAATGGACTAGCTCAGTCAAGTAATTTCATTTTTCCATTGAAAATTGGCAACAAATTTACAAAATATTGAGAAGATTGATCTGTAGTTCTTTTTTCCATATCTAATTCAGCTTTATACATCATGACTTATCTTATATTTTATCAGAAACAAAGATTCTATAACTAAACCTCACCGTATAAATAGAAAATTGTAAATACTGTGAAATCAGAATGAATTCCAGAATTAAATCAATAGTTAGATCAGAAAGAAATCATTTTTGGGGGATAGGACTAACAAAAGATAATATATATAAACACAGCTTTGGCTTATCATTCGTCTCACTCTGTAAACCATCAAGGTTGACCAGCAATAATTCCTTTGAATTTCTAGGTATTTGAAAATTCACAAAAACATCACAGTGATGGAAACATTTGAAATTGTACCTAACAGAAGAACCTTTGTAAAACATTTTCAAACCAAAAATCTCAATATTTTAATTTTTAAAAATGATGCTATGACGTCCATTGATGAATTTTGATAATTTTTTTTTTTAATTGAAAAAAATCTCAAGTAAATGTATTGAAAATGTTTTTTTTTTTGTTTTTTTTTTTTTCTTTATTAAACATGCATTATTTTAATTTTAATGTTAAAATTATTAATAGGAAAGCAAATAAACTAAATTACAATTTTTTTAATTAGCATCACAATATTTTTCGTTTCAGGCCTAACAAGGTATCTGATTTTGACAAATTTACCTATGTTAAGGTCATAATACAGATTATATATTTCATAGTTTCTCCTCCATTTACCTTCTTTCTTTTTTTATTGGTCCAAATATCCTCCTCATTAATATTCTCTCGAATAGAGAGACCTTATTTATTTGGACTTTGTTGCTCCTACCTTGAACCTATAAGTGAGAACAGATATCTGCGATGTTTTATAGAGGAATATTTTTGTTTTGTTCAACAGTACCTTATTTTTGAACTGATCTGACATTACAACATAACATCTGCTGGCTGCTGTTTTCCTTTTGCCTATCTCCTTCGAAGCAATATTCTAATATTTACTTGAATACTCTAATATACGAAGAAAAATTTATGAGAATCATTTCCTAGGGAGGTTTTCTGTTTTACCACCAGCACACAGGTATATTGTATTTATTTATTTTTTTTTTGTTCACTTCTAACCTACATTCACTGCCAGACCTTCCAAAAGGATATCAAACTATACTACTATATGTTGTATAGTATAGTACCTTTTTTTCAAATATTCCATATCCTCGCCATTGAACCTCTTTGAATGGTATATGTCAACTTCTAGGTAAGGAAAGCTCGTAAGAGTTCTATGTTGCTATATACATAAAACATTCCAAAACACTTCATAAATCATTTTGGCAGTTAAATAATCGTTTCTGTTGAGACAGTACAGCTTTATCCTCTATCTTATAGAGGTTTTGTGATACTTTGATTTAAGGAGAGTAGAGAGATCATCCCAGATAACCGAAGATACCCCAAGCCTGGTAGAGGGTTGCTTCCTCATAGTCTTCTGGCTACCTCTTCCATCTGTAAAGGTAAGCCAACAGAGTGGTTCGACAAAATCGTCTTATTCCAATTAGGATTATTTTCGTACTTGCAAGGATTTCTCATTTCTCTGTTGATAATCAACACCTATATAAGGAAAGAAAATATGAATTTATTAATTGAAGTGAATAAATAAATTATGTGAATTTTATTTGTTTAAACTTGACATTATTATTTCTTTTGAGAATTTAATAGTTGACTTTATTGTTAGCAATGAGCTGAGCATTCTGTGTTCAAGTTAGTGAACTATTTTGGATTATCAAATAGGGATACATCTTTTATTTTAATTATTCAAATTCATTCTAAGTCCAAATTGTAAGTTTTATTAGAAGCCGGCCAAATGCTACATTTTTTTTCTAATTTTGATTTAAATAAAATAAAATGGAGTGAAGTGCCTTGAATTATGCTAGAATTTGTTGATACTGTTGCTGGACACCATGTTAATTGGTTCAGTACTTAAATCAAATACCTAAAAATTAAGTTCTTTCCTCCAGAAACAATATATGTGATATGATAGTTTAGTCGATTACAGTGAAAGTTGGATATTTTATGTGAGCTTTCCTCTTGTTTTTATTCTGAAGGCTCATTCTATCCTGCTAACAACGACACTTTTATCTTGTTCTAAGCTTGAAGCCTCAATAAGGCTAATCAACTTGACATTGTGATACTGGAATTGGTTGTTTATTGACTAAAATTCTTCTGACCTTCAACTCCAGTTTATATCAGCTTGAGTTGCTGTATTAGATAATGAGTTTCCTGTAATGTATCGTATGATTTATTTATTAAACTGTAGTTTGATTTAATAGCAGTTCTTTTTGTATGTGATATACTTTTACAAAATATCTAATATGTGAAAAGATTTAATTTTTTTTAAATTTGAGGATCACTTCCTTGGATGGGGTGATTGTTCATTTAATTTGATAATTTTTGATTTTATTTTGTATGCTTATTTCATTCAGACAGTGAATATTTACATTTGGCCTATACTCATCATATTCCAGTTCCAAGTATGATAAGCAATGTGTTTCACCGCTTTAATCAATTAGAAGTCTATACATTTTCCATCTTGCCCGTTTTGGTTTTTCTGAATGAACTAATTTTCTTGAAATCAAAATAATTCTATGGTAATGGACTAATGTTATGAATTATTATTTTATTTTTTGGTTAATAATTAGTTGGGGATGACTAATAGAATTTAAATCAACAATAAAAATAATTAACAGTTTAATCATTTAATAATTAAAGACGAAATTTATTTTACATTAGTGCAGAAAAACAACTACAAATTACTAATTTTTTGATGAATGAAAATTTGATCACGTTTTTAATGGCATCTTCCATTAGATTCTTGTAGTTGTTTTAAACTTGTGAATTTTCAGTTTCACTGGATGCTTACATAGGCAGGAAATTGTTATTTTATATTGGCCTAAATGAGTTTTTTTTTTTTTCAAAGTTAACCAGATACTAAATAAAAATTCATCTTATGGTAAGTAACATTGATATCTGACAAGAACTGAATGGTTGAAATTCAATTTTGGTTCTTTCTTCCAATCTTTACTACCGTAGTGCTTCATTAGTTATAAATACTTATTATCTCTAGAATATTGATGGGTTGAAAGTTGGTAAAATTTTCATCACTGAAAATGGTTCACTTAGATTTTGATATTTGAACCATAGTAGTATCCAAAATAAAAATCCTTGCAAAAGATGTTGGCCATTATCATTTGGTGAGTTATAGTCTAAACATAAATATTGCATGAACTGGGTTAAAGATTTGTTTTAAGATCAAGTTCATAATAATTAAGAAAAAAAAATCATACTTATCATGCCAGCTTAAAATTTTGAGAACTCTCTCAAAACAAAAAAATGAACTATTGGAAGTTGTATTATAAGATTCCATCTATCTCCTTTGTTTACCTGTTATAATTTGTGTATTGTAAGATACTCATGAATTGAGTTGTTATGTATATGCACTATAATGTTAAGTAACTTGTGATGTTTAACAAAAATATTTTGAAGAACATTTTTGAAATTCTTTTATCCGATGCACATTAAATTCTTATCTTATTTTTAAATTAATTTATTAGCGGGAAGATGAAACTTGTATATCATTTCAGGAAAAATGGACTCATGATCCTTTTGGAGCAGAGAAAGATGCGAATGGCAACATCTACGCCCGGGGTGCCCAAGATATGAAGTGTGTTGGAATTCAATATATTGAGGCGATTCGAAGATTAAAGGAGGAAGGAGTCAAACTGAGACGTACTATTCATATGTCATTTGTTCCAGGTATAGCTCAGAATTGAATTTCTAAATTAAATAAGTTCACAGCTATATTTCTAAATTAACTATGCTCACAACTGTATTTCGAAATCAACTAAATTTAAATTTATTATATTAAAATAGATGAAATGCTAATTCTTTAAATTTAGCTCTAGTGATTTTGCTTTTTAATAGCATAAAAGCAGTTAGGGATGCTGAACATAAATGCACAAGTTTTAAAATAAAATAATATGGTGTATATAATAAATAATAATAATTAAATCTTATTTAATTGGAAAAAGTTTTGAAAAAAAAAAGCTAACTGATTACTTGTTAATGTTTTTATTGGTTTTTCATGATGGAATAGATAAAAATTCGAACTAGCCCATTGCTATATAATAAAAACAATAATAGATGATACATCACTCAATAAGTCTCCAGTGTAATTTTTTTTTTAGAATTGTGATATTCGCTATTGATAATTTTTCCTTTTTTCAAGATAGTCAATGAATGAAATTCCGTTTGTGTCCTAAAATACTGATGCCATAATGTTATCGGCCGACTTCTGAGTTTTTGGTCGCTTTGGGCGACTTTCACCGACTGTTATCCACCCAGCCAACAATCTTTTTGATTCAGACTTGTAGTGGTAAATCCATGTTTCATCCATTGTCACATAACGACACAAGAAACCCTTTTTATTTGAACAGCTTCAAATTTCACTTTGACTCGTCAACACATTTTTGTTTACGGTCCATTGTGAGCAAACGCATCACCCACTTTAAAAACAACTATATGCAAAATTGTAAAGACACTACCTTCTGATATCTTCAAGGTGTCAGCTATCTCACGCAACTTCATTTTACGGTCTTTTAAAACTAATTTGTGGACATTTTTTATGTTTTCTAGAACAACTGCCAATTTTGGGTGACCAGAATGTTCAGCATCATTGCTGCTTGTACGGCTGCATTTAAATTCAACATATCAGTGAATAATAGTTGATTTCCCCTGGTGCAAAGTCTCCATAATGCTTATCAAGCCACTGTTTGGCTTCAGCAGTATTTTTCCCCATCAAAAAACAGTGTTTAATCAACACACGAAATAACTTTCTATCGATTGTCTTGAAAATGCCAGTCAGAATGCCATGAAATTTTGACATGTACTGATTGAAGGTTAGTACTACCCAGAAATCACTTGGATCTGTCTACAATATTGCCATCTATGTGTCAGACTGGGGACTTATTAAGTAATGTGTTTTATATATAATGGATGTAAATCTTATGAAAATAATTAATTAAACATTTAATCCATGTTTTTACTTTATGATGATTTTTGATTTTCCGACAGTATTTCTCGCTAGTTTTCAATTTCTTATTCCCAATGACCTTGGTACTGTGATTTCATGTACCGACAGTTGTATTGTATTTACATTGTGATGCATATGAATATAAATCATAAATAGTGATTTATATGAGAGTTTTATGATTATAAAGAATTTTAATTCATCAGAACACTATGATTGGTAAAACTCATTCAATAATACTTATTATTATAAAGTATGATTTTTTATTGGGATCCAAATATTAATAATTTGTGTTTACAACTGATTGACTCTAAGCATTACTAATGTGAAAATGAGAATCCAAATGTGAAAATAATAAAAGGCTTAGCAAACCCGAGGTTCGATACCGACTCGCTGTCCACACTTCTCCTTCCTCCAGTCACCATCCAAACCCTGCCTTGCCAGATCAGCTTTAAAGCAATTTTCCCACCTTTGCTTCAGTCTACTCCATGGACATTTACCTGTCGGCTCAGCAAATATTGGCTTCATCGCTGTCTTCGGTCAGACGATGTATCTTTATTAATGCAATTTAGAACCAACATTCCTGAAATATGGCTACCGATATCCTTTCACTAAATAATTTTATGTCTATCAAAGCGGATAGCAGTCTATTCTTAATTAGAAATCTGATACCTAAACAATGATTTCCGCTTCCGCTTAACCATATAGCGTACTACCATTCTCTTATTGACCCCTCTCCTAGGCAACGAATCTCCTGTAGGACCATGATATCAAAATTTTACTCCTAATCCTTGTTCTCTGCTGATTTAAATCCCCCTGCTGAATTAAAACTCTACATTCCACGTACTTATACTTAAGTCCCCTGATTTTTAGCTTGCACCATGAATCCCTAAAGCAGTCCCCCATCCATAGAAGCGAACAGGGGAGCGTTTCAATTTTCAATATTCAATGGATCCATGAACATTTGTGGTGTATGTTGAACTACAGATATATGAGCAGGGTGTCAAATCCTAAGTTACACTCTCCAGCAAGCCTGCGGAGCCACTCTCATTATTACTCAGCAAGTCTATCAGACTTATCCCAAAATTAGAAATGTTACCAGAAATGAAGCTAAAAACAAACATTTCCAAAAATCCATTTTTATCCTCGTTTAGTTTATTGTTTTGATTTTTTTCCACATTTTGAACTCTACCAAAAGTTGTGAAAGTTTATTTCTTAATTTGATTTTTACTATTATTTTCTGGAGTTACTGTTTTTGGTTTGTACAGTTGACAGCTGACCCCTGGCTAATTCCATTTTTTTCTAATCTGTATTTTATCATTCAAATATAAACAATGAGATTTTGTACCTCAGTAATCATATTACTTTTTATTTATTTCTGATTGTCTGTGCTGGACAAGTCAGACTAGTCAAACATTAGAAACGATTATCACAACTTATTTAATAAACTGAACGATGTTTGATTTTTTATTTATTTATCTATCTTCTGAAATATATTTTGAAGTGCAATTGGTTTCCAAGTTTGTTTGTTTTTTTAGTTATTTTAATATGATTTAACAGGTTGTACATTTTGTTTAATTATTTTCTTTGTTTACTTTTTTAGATGAAGAAATTGGTGGTGAAGATGGAATGGGAAAGTGGGTTACAATGCAAGATTTTCATAACTTAAATGTTGGTTGTGCACTCGATGAAGGAATGGCTAGTGTTGATGAGACATATTTATTGTTCTATGGAGAAAGATCAATTTGGCGTAAGTTATTCTAATGCTTGTTTTGTAAGTACTAATTTTACTGTAAAAAAAAAAAAAAAAACAAAAAAATTTAGATGAGATCATAATTACACACACTGTTTAAAAATAAAATATGCAGGAGATGCCAGTTTTGGAGTATTATGTTGTCATGGAAAAACATCTGCCTAAACATAAAATTAATATTGGATCATCTAGAAACTAACGTTCACAATCCCTGAAAGTTTCATCAAATCGCATTAACAACAATTAGTAGGTGTTATGCGTGTCATATTGATTTGACATCAGAATACAGCCTAAATTAAATTTTTGTAGCAACCTAAAACCTTATGATGCCCCAATGCAATGGTATAAATATAACCTTTCTTTCCATGTATTCACTCCCTAAAACATTTTACAAATCGTTGGTCCAAAATCTACTTTTTCTGAGTTATTATAGATTAAACCCAAATATTAAGCAAAAATAATAATTTTAAAGACAAAAGTATATAAATTATTTTTGATTTGAAGTTAAAAATGTGTATATATACATACATTTTTTTTTTTTTTAATGGTAAAAATCTAAATATTTAAGACATCTCTGCATTTTAAGTAAAGACTTAAATTTTCAAGTTTTTAAAATAAATGTAATGTAACAATATTATTATTATCTATTGAAATAATTATATAAATGAAGGCCTTAGAATAATTATAGCATATGATGTTTTTACTTTCACTTAACTATACATGAAACATAGAAAGTATTACAATTTTTGTGGAAATTTTGGAATCTCAGTTTTCAACAGAAATACACATTTCGAGGTCCCCTGAGTCCAAATAATCAAGTCCTACAAAATGGTGTGTGTGTGTGTGTGTGTGTGTGTTAACAGTCTAGCTCAAAAACAAAAAGTTGTACGCAAGTGAAATTTCATATTTAAGGTTTTTATATGCTTGGGATGTTACAGCAACTTTTTCATCAAAATTGACTAACCGGAAGTGGTACTTATGTCATGGACTTAACACATTTTTACGATTTTTTTTAAAACAGCTAACAATTTTGATTTAATTCATTATATCATTGTAAAATTAAGCACTTTTTAATATAATGTAGGTTTTATCATCATTGATGTTCTCTAACAGTGCTTAAATGGCTGTTTTTCAATATTAGCTTCCTCTAAAGTACCTTTAATTTTTCTTTATTTGAAATAATTAACCATTTCACATTGATCTCTAATATAAAAAATAGTTAAGTATAAAATTTGAAAGAATTTGATAACTAACTAAAAGAGAAATTATACATCGCTACGGAAAATAGTTGTAATGGAGGAACCAAAGGAATACGAGTGCAAAGATTAGAACAGTCTTCTATACATAACATGAGCTTAATATAATACATACTCCATTTCATAAATGTTATTGTTGGTATTATTTAATATTTAATTGTATAGATTACATCAATATAAAAATTAAAATTTGTATATGTGGGAGTACATAAACATATAAAAGTATCCACAATGAAATATAAGTAAATGTAGTGTCTATAATTTTAAATTTTACTTCCCTTTTATCTGAAAATACTTATTTCTGCTGCTAAAAAGAGGGTGGTAAATGAAAGTTGTGTGATGCGTGCACCGCACCAGATTTTTCCCATTTCTTTTCGATAATTTATAATCTTTTGCATTTTTATTATTTACAGAAGTTCATATTCATTGTCCGGGAACACCAGGCCATGGTTCATTGCTTCTTCCTGAAACTGCTGGAGAAAAAGTGCGTTATGTAATTGATTCATTCATGGACTACAGGGCACGAGAAAAATCTAAGCTTGAAGGCAATCCACAACTTAGCATTGGAGATGTAACAACTATTAATCTCACCAGAGTTAAGGTAATGAAAAACTAGAGGTAAAAAAGTCTACTTATTGAAGAAAGAAATCAGTTGGTAATAATGAGGGAGAATCAGGATCAAATTAACTAATAATACATTTTTTAGTATTATCTATCAGTAACTTTTTTATTACATCTTTTTTAGTTAAAATGAATTATGAAATGTTTATCTTGTGTTCAAATTATGTAGATTGAGTAGATTTTGGATTCATAAATTTTGATCATCTAGTTGCTGTTACAAATGAAAAATGATCTTTCATAATTTTACTAATTTTTTTACATATTTTTCATTATTTATAAATATTGTTCCAATGATGAGTCCTTTTGATGTTATACTTTTTTTTAGACTAAAATTACTCTTCGAAAATACTAATGGATTTCCTATGATTGTTTTTGAGAATTAAGTGGTTTGTTTGAATTAATTTTTAGATTTGTGTTTATCATAGGATCATAATATAGTTGTTTTTTTACAATAGCAGCTTGATGTTTTTTTCGTCTCATAATTATTAAAGAGTATATTCTTTTTATATGCTTTAAGATCTGTTATGGAATAATAAATTATTACAAATATTGGATTTAGAAGACCTTAAAAGGCGTAACTCTGGTGAAATCTAAATTTATTTTGGCCATGACAATTTGACTTATTATTATAGGAAAGAATGATATAGTCAGTAACATTATAAAGAATTATACAACATACATAATTGAAATATTGACTAATTTTTTTTTTTTAAATTATACAATGGATTGAAAGACGTAAACAATTTGATTCTTAAAATTACCAAAATTGGTAGAAGTCATATTTGTATCATATTAAATCTATTGCTGAAATTTCATTTGATTATTTTTTACTAAACATTGCCATTGAATTCCAGTTTAAAATTCATTTAAGTCAGGCTTAAATGTATGCTTCAAAAATGGCAAGATGGATTTGTCTCTAAGATGCTCTCTCAATTTTGAATTTCATTCACTATTTCCTCTTATAAAGGCACACATACATTTTCTTTGCATTGCCTATATTTCAAAAAAAGTTTGTTTTTGGAAGGTTAAAGTTTTTTTAGATAGTGTAACACCTATTCCCAGTAATTTGCTCTGATGAAATTTTGAGGTTTGATCCATAGATGGTCCAATATCGTTTTTTAAATGCTATTTACTTATGTTGCTTTGGTATTCATTTTTCCTTGACAATAAGAGTTTAAAAATAGCTTCTCCTAGAGATTTTATTTTCAAATGGCAAATTATAGACGTTTTTGTTTTAGGTAACTACTCTAGGACTAATAGAAACAGTAAGGAAGCTCTACTGACCCTAATTGGCAAACTTTTTTTTCCTATGTACTGCACTTTCATTTAAAAAATATTCTTCTTCCCCTCTCCCCTAAAAAAAAAAAAAAAAAAAAAAAAAAATGATGTACATTAACAATAATCAAACTCATCCTATTTATGTTTTAATTAGTGTGATTTTTAAACATGGTTTGTGTTCACAGAATTTAATATATATGATAATAATTTGAAAGTATTAAAATTATTTATTGAAATTGAAGTTAATAATTTGATTCTGGTTCAGTGACCAATATGAGTTCATATAAAATATTGTATTCTATGGCTAATAAAAAATGAATATACTTATTTTCTAATTGCAAAAGAAATTTTTTTTTCTTATCACTTTGGAATTCAAAACTTTTTTGTTAGGTTTAGTGTACAACATATAGTTTCATTTTTTCGTTTTAAATCACTATTTTTATTTCAAGGTACAATATAACTTCATATTTTGTTTTATTTATATTCTTTTGTTTCTTTTCTTTACTTTTTTTTCAATTAAATGAAATTAAGAATGGCTTGATCAATTTTATTTTACTGGTCTATATTCATTCCACCATGTTGCCATAATCTAATCTATTATTTAATTAATGTTAAATTTATTTTTGTTTCATGTCGTGGCTCTATTAAATAATGAAATGAATCATATAGATCACTAATGATGGCAAAATTATTTGGGAGTTTCGTCGATTTTCATGAAGTAACTTACAAACTTAACACCGTTCTCTCGGAACTTTGTGTTAAATGTATGCATCGCATGTATACATTTAATGCTGTTTGATGACAGGGTATTGAAGAAGTATAAGAAGAGTTTTTATAATTTTATTTGTTCATTATTCTAATGTATGTCGTGTACATTTTTAATCAGTGTGTAATGTTACATGTCTATCATTAGTGAGAGGTATGTAAAAACCTTTCTTTATCTTTTTAAATTAAAGGAAAAAATAAAAACTTAAATGTACACTATAAAATATTTGGCTCAATTTAGTTTTGTTTTATCAGGTTAAAAAATAAAAGTGAAATTTTTATTAGATTTTTTGTTTTGTTTTATTTTTAGATATTTGTAAAATATTTTTATTTTCTATTCCATTTACTTTGTATTTGATATGATTAGTATTCAGTTACTTTATTACTACAATTTGATATCTATTAAAAAACTATCAGTAATTAATAAACTATCATTTTAATATTTAAGAAACCAAATCATTGAGGGTGATTTTGATTTGGTTTTGGGGTGGTGGGAGGGTTTTGACTTTATTTATTGTTAAGGGAGGTGTCCAGAACAACGTTGTTCCACCAGAACTGATTGTTGGCTTTGATTGTCGTCTCTCCCCCACAACTGATTTTGATACTTTCGAGAAATGGATCATGGTAAGATTCAATACTTACTTTTAACAATTATATTGTTATTAACATGAATAATAGACAATTAGTTTTAATTCTAGTTTTAAAGCTTTATTGTATTTTGAAGTTATTGTCTGATTTTTAAAAGAAATGATCAAATATTCTAATTCTTTACTTTTTCTTACCTGTTGGTGAATTCATAAATTCTACCAAGGTATAATTAGGTTGTATTACAGGGATAACATGTTTAATGGTAATATATCTCTTGATATAATGCTAATATCAATTTATTACAAAAAAAATGTTTCCTTTCCTATTATCTTACATTTTTTCCCATTTATGAATTATTTTATTAATTTATCAAATACAGCAATAATATCTCAGAATTTTCATTTAATGTACACCGATAACGTTTATTTCATTTAATGTTAATTGATTACATATATTTCTCAGGAAGTCTGTGCAAAAGCTGGAAAGGAAGTGTATCCTGAATATCAGCAAAAGCAGAATGCCAAAGCTTTAACAAAGTTAGATTCAACTAATCCTTTTTGGGTTACATTTAAAAAGGAGTGCGATAAACTGTAAGTATTTCATATTTTATTTTTAATATGATAAAGTTTATTATTGTATTGCATCTATTAGTTGTATAGGCTAGTTTACACATTGATTGAAGTTTTAAACAAGACATTGTAATTTAGTACTTAGATTTTCAACCATATGGGTAGATCACAATGGGCCCACTATTGACATCATTGACTCTTTTACATAGTTAAGTTTCTTGATCCAAATTATTATGAAGACTGACATTAATTATATTTTTTCAAGGAGTGTCCGGAAAGTAAACTTACTTTACTTCGAAATCAATTTAATATGTTACTGCTCATCAATAGCAAACTATTATATATCTTAATTATTTTAAATTCTGGTTCTTATGTGTGTTGATTAATTATAAAAATACTGAATGTTTCATGTTTTTTTGTTGTTTTAGTAGAATGAGACCAAAGCTTTGATATTCCAACTGTAGTCTGTGGTACAGACCCCTTTTCATCAAATTGTCAACATCCACTTAAATCTTTGTAAATAGCTTCATCTGATCATAATCTACTGATCTGTTCGGCGTGACCTCCACCCCGAAAAAGTTAAAATAGCGAGGTCGTATAGGCCTAACACCCTAATTTTTTGTAGGCCAGCTTTTTTTTGATTTTGTGATCTCATTATCTTCCAATTCAAGTGGAAAGCAAATTGGTATTCATGAGTAACTAATTAAATGGACAAAGTTTGCCAATCTCCAGATTTAAAACCACCAATCCTGAGAATTTTCGTAAATAAAATATTTGTAGGTTACAATCAGATGAAGCTATTTACGAAGTTTCAGGCGGATGTTAATAATTTGATAAAGAGGGGTCTACTGTTATGCAATAGAAAAAAAATCATAGACTAATATTTATAGCTAGGAAAAAATTTTGTATGAGGTACATTTTTCTTTGATGAACACTGGTAGGAATCACAACATATCTGAAATTTTATATGTTCTATGTTCTTGGTATTTTGTTTTTAAAAATAAGTAAATATTATAATAATTAATAAAAATATTAATTATGATTATAATCTAAATTATTTCAAAACTTGTTCTTGGGTCTAACCCTGCGTTTTGATTTGAAATATGAAGTTGCTAATTGTTCTAAAAGGATAAGAATCACACAATTATGATTATAATCTAAATTATTTCAAAACTTGTTCTTGGGTCTAACCCTGTGTTTTGATTTGAAATGTGAAATTGCTAATTGCCCTAAAAGGATAAGAATCACACAATGGAAGAATACCATGCTATAGTGTGTTTTTAAGAATGGTAAATTTCCTGAACAGGATTGCTACCATACTTCAATCAGAAATTTCCAACAAGTTGAAACGATTTGGTCTCGCAACACTCTCTGTTAATTTTTTAAAATTAAAATAATAGTCTTCAACTAAGAAATAACCGAGTAAATTAGCCTTGGTATTTATCTTTAGAAAAAAAATATAGGATTTTGAATTATTAATAATACTAAAACTTTTCATTCTCATTGATATGTAGAAGACTTAAATTGAAGGCATTAAATTGGCCTACTTTGTGACTTGTTTAATTTTTTATCACAAATTAGGTATGAAATATCTGTGCCGCTACCTATTCTATTAATATTAGAAATTATGACCAGATTAACTAAGTAGGTTAAACAACTGGAGTAAGGGTTGCCATTTTACATAGTGTCGCAAACCTTGGACTAATAACTTATCTGAAATTAACATTAAATTTCCATTAATTTTCACCCATTTGGAATGTTGAATAGGAGAATAAATTTTTCAGAAATCAAAATATAAATAAATATATATATATATATATATTTATTTTGAACTTTGTACATTTCTAAAATAAACTGTTAAATTTTTATAATTAAAATAACTATTTCAAGCTGTTAATATGTAGCTGATATATTTTTTATTTTCAGTGGATTGAAACTAAAAGAAGCTATATTTCCTGGAGGCACAGATAGTCGCTTCGTCAGAGATGTAAGTTAAGTTTTTTTATTTACATTTTATTTCTGACTGATCCCTCCATCTTTCTCTTCATTTATTTATTTCCTTATTTTGTTCGGAGGTTGGGTCATATAATAACAAAAAAATAGAAAATTTTAGTACTGAATGCCCTCTGCACAAAGAAAGTTGGAAAGGGCGAAGCTGTATGTTCTTGATAACCAGGACTAATTGTTAGTATTTGGTATTAAAATGAGGAAAACACGGAATTGAACCCAAAAATTGGAAAAAATATACTCAGCGAACGAGGAACCACACCTTTTTGTGAGACTTGGTTATTTGGACTCAGGTGGCTTTAAAACATGTATTCCGTTAAAAATTCAGATTAGAAATTTGTCATCATCGCAATACCTTTCCAAACTATATATTATTTATATAGGTAAATGAAAGTAAAAAATTTAAAACGATGCACATGATAGGGAACCCAGATTATCAAGATTCATAATTATTTAGTTTTTTAAGAAATTAATTATGAATTGTTAATAGACATTTTTATTGTTGGTTAGTCTAGTTATTTTTTATTTCAACTATTCCAAACTATATACTTCTATTCTTTTAACTGAAAATTGTTAAACAATTTAATTTAAATTTGTGAATGAGAGTTACTAGGGTATCACTTTTCGTATGTCACTCCATCTTGACCAATGTGCTAAGATCTCTTGTTCGCGGTATAAATGAGGTTCCAAGAATAACCTAGGATTGACAATGCGTTCACAGTATAACCTTCCATTATTTAGGTCACGATTTATTACTTTTGTAAACTCCCTACTGATTATTTTTAGTCGAAATCGGGGCCTTAATTAGCTTTAATTTCATGGCTATTTTCGACTTCCTCTCACTAGATTTCCTCTAAAGGGATGAACAAATCCAAAACAGGTCTTTTTCTCTGGAGTTCGTAGTCTTAACAGCCAGTTCTGTCTACTTTCGGACACACTCAGCCATTCCATTCAATTCCATTTGTTCAGTAGAACTGTTAATAGTTTTTAATTTTTTTTATAATTACTCTTAGGGTAGTATTTAGTTATTTTCTTATTATTGGAATATGTATATTAAGAACATCTCTCTTATTTATTATTTTTTTTTTTTCACAGTTGGGTATACCAGCTTTTGGTTTCTCTCCAATGAACAAGACTCCTGTGCTCCTACATGATCATGATGAATTTCTGAGCGAGTCTACATTTTTAACAGGGTTGGAAATTTATATTAAACTAATCCCTGCCTTAGCTGGTTCCTGATCCCCACTTGGCAAGCGGGACAGAGCCATGTTCGAGTCCTGCTAGCCACTCCTGTGTGCCATAATAGAACTAACTAAGTTTGTATTGTCGCTCATTATGTAAAATGTTCTAAGATCCCTTTATTTCTCTATTTTATTTTTTTTTATCATTATTTAAATTGATATAATCAATCTTAATTTCACATATGGGATGTGTTTATTTGCATTTTTTTATGGCTCACTGATTCAGGCTTATAACTGTCAAATCAGTTTTCTACTAATAGCATTAAAGATGGATAGATTATCTTAAAATGATTTTATCACTTCAGACCTCATTTTTATATCATCTATTAAGGTGTTTTGAGAAAGAATAATTAATTGTTTTTGTATTTTATGTTGGGTTATTAAGAGTACTTTTACTCAACAGTTTTTAATTTTTGACGCTTCCAGTATGCTGTCTCTTATCAGTCCTTCTGGTGATGTTTGTTGAAATTTTATTTCAATAAAAGTATTTTTTAAATATAAACTAATTATAATGAATGTGTTTTGATTCTGGAAATTGCAAAATGAGATTAAAGTAGTTTCATAATAAACTAAAATTGTTTGAAATGGAAGTGATGTCTACCTTTGTTACAATTATAAATTTAAAATTTGTTGGCCATGGTCGCATTAAAATTATTTAATCAAAGTATCTTTTGGCAATATTTTTGTTATTGCTTTGATTTAACATAGTATGATATAAAATATATCTGAGAGTCTTATTATTGTTTCTCACCAATTGAACATCGTAATATACAGAAGATTTGAATCAAATTAATTTTTAACTTATAAACAGGGAATTCTTAGAACATTTTATTTTGATTTGAACAGTATTCTACAGGTTTAAGGATTTCATTTAATTGCCCTATTTCAGCTACTATTTGGTAGAATAGTGGTGGTAATATATTCATCCGTATGACCAAAATAAGATATTTATTTTCCTTACATGTTCCATTTTATTTTTCTTATGTAATGCCATTGGCTTATGATTTTTTTTTTTTTTTAATTGTTTCAATTTATTCATACTTCTTTAACAATGATTATAATAACCTATTTTGAAAAGTATTTGTGTTGAGAATCTATTAGAGATTCTGTAGATTTTATTTCTATCTTTTTATTTATTTTTTTTTTTAATTTTGTTATAATTTATAAATTGGGCTTTGTTAACTTTTAATATATTATATATACATATTTTGTTTTAACAATGCATTTCATTAATGCCTTAAGTTAAATAATTTTTTAATGCTTCAAGTATTTATTATTTTCTTTGTTAATAAAACAAAGCTGGTTTGAGACTAGATTTTGCATTTATGAATGTTTTTGAATTATGGTGCTGATTGTTTAACTTGTAAGCATTTTAAACCACTGTTTGGTAATTCAAAAATTTATTTAATCTATCTTATTTGCATATTTTTCTTTTTCATAAATTATATTTTTATTGAAATAGCATTGCAAAATAATCAGGATTTCTAATTAGTAAATGGGATTTGTTCATTAGAAGGTAATGCCTGTTTGTATATCTGCACAAAACAAGTTTTGTCAAGACCAATCGCAATGATGCATTATAGCTTGTAGATTGCAGGGTGTGTATCAGTCTCCATTATCAGTGCTTTCACAATTTTCTAGTCTTTATTTTACTAACTAACATTAGCAATGGTTTTTCAGTTTAGAAATAATATTAAACCCATCTATAAACTATATTTGATTTATGAGTTGGTGGTTTTAAAATGTTGATGTTGGTTATTATTAGTTTAATGAATTAAAAGCACTTATTTGTCACACACAGAGATTTTAATTTGTGTATTATTTAAAACCATATCATACCCTTTTATATTCTGATTTTGAAATAGTTCTTCAATATATTCATTATTGGTTCCGTTCTAGTGAAGAACGTCTGATTTTATTAAACTATTTATGCTCTCATCTTGTTTGTCACCTATAGATAGAAATTAGTCTCGGTTTTTCATATTCATATTTAAGTGCTTTGCATGTATTGATATATTTGAAATATTGAATCAAGAAAATATACAGAACTGGTTAAACTTAATCTTCATGTACTGCACGATTAAAAAAAAAAGCATTAAAAGTATCTATTACATATTGTAAGTTATTATTGTTATGTAGTTCTCACTATCACTTATTATGAATTAACATAATAGTATATATAAATTTGTTTTGTAACTATTTATATAAATAATAATTAAAAAGGGGAAAAAAATAGAATCAAACATGTAAATGCTTCATAAAAAGTGTAAGATCAGAAGAATTGGTCCAATATTTTTTTAATTTTTCTTTAATAATCACCATAATTTTTGCATTATATTTTTAATTCCTTATTAGGTTTTAATTTAATTTTAAATAATATCATTTGCATTGTTTTTATATTCTAATGGAACGTGTTTAATTCTATTATTATATTTTCATTCCATCAAAGTAATCAAATATAGATTTAACTTAAAAACTAAATACCTATAAAAATATTCACGATTCTTCTGATCATTGTTCATTTCTAATGTGGTTATAATGTTAGCATTTTAAGATATAATCATCTAAACATATCTTTTCTGTCTTGTAGCAAGACATATTTTCAAGTTATAATTGGATTTTTTTTCCCTCAATGTTACCATTAAAAGGTATGATTTTTCTATTAATAATATATATAATTTTCTTATATTAGCGTCTATTGGAAGTGCCCCAGAGCACTAGACATGTGCTGTCAGAAAGGCAGTAGTGTGAATTATACCATTAAAGCAATAGTTTTCCTAAATATTTGCTCCCTTGCTTTTAATGTAATCAAAATTCTCATTATTATTCTCCATAGGTCCCATAATGCTTCAGATTTTTTGTTATACTTTTCTCAATATCTATTTCTAGTTAGTTACCTTCATTTAATACAGTGCAATTATTTGATTAGTTCCAGCTATCAAAAAAGGAAAAAAAGAAAGAAAAAAAGGGAAAAATTATTAATTTAGGTAGATATTGTATAGATCTTCAAAATGAGTTTTAACTTTATGAAATATACGAATTTAAAATTCGTAATATTTCAAAATTGAAATGTATTTGTGTTATCCTGTTTATCAGGAGGTATATGTTTTATACATTACAAAGTTAATATTGTTAAATACTAATGAACAGAGATATTTATTTTGAGTATGTTGTTATTTTATTGCATATTTTCTTTCCATTATAAATTATTTCTCTGAAGTATGTACTGCGAAGAATGTGTTGTTAGGAGCATTCTTAATGCCCTTTTAACAAATAAACTATATATTGTAATAAATGATAATTAATTGTTGAGTTATTTATTTTTCTGTTAATGTACTACATGCATTTTTTTATTAACCCTGTGCCCCCTATCTCTTCTGGAATTTCAAGCTTTCGATACTTCTAACTGATTTTTAACAATATTACTGTAAGATCATTTTAGACCTAATCAACCATTCAATAAAAGTTAATCAGACTATCTGTTTAATCTTTTATGCCTAATTTTTCCTGTTTAATGAACTAAACAGTGTATTTAAGTGCTATTTATATTTTCATTTAAATTGGATAATTTGATCAATATCGTATTGCAAAATCAAAATATTTCTTCAAAGTTAAAAATCCAAAAGAAAAACAATTACATGAAAAATGGCTAACATATACTATATGTTATATTAAAAAACTTATTTATTTTGAGTATTAATTTTATCACAGTCCAACCCTTACAGTTTCTCAAACCTATTTTTATCGATATGCTTATATTTAAAAAACAGCTCTTTTGATTTGGCTCATAGTAGAGGAAAGTTGAGAAATAATGTATAAACTATCTATAATCAATTTCCTTGTGAAATTCTATTTGCGATGCAAATTAATGTAATTGTTTAAAATATGATGGCTCTGGAATGTGTTAGGCAAGAATTTGTGGAATAGAAGTTTTTAAACTTAATGCAATTTATTAAATGTTTTTTATTGAAATATTATATTCAGTTCACAAATTTATATTTATATTATATTCAGTTAAACTCTATGTAAAATGTATGGGTATTCCCATTTATATATTTATTTTAGGTGTTTCCTTTATAGTTGTATAAACAAACAAGAATGTACCATAGATAGCTGATCTTATGAACAGTAGTATGAAAAACATACAAAAGAGGGGAATAAATTTTCCGAATCTTAAAAAAAACTTTTATATTTATTTCCAAATAATTTAAACATAATATTTTTCTAAAATGAAAACAAATTAATTTCAATTCATAATCAATGAATTCCATTATTAGAAACAATAATAATAATACGTTCATGGAGAAAAACAATGACACAAATATTCTTGCTTCCACTTTACTCTTGGGCAAATACAATCAGAGAATAATTTCCAACAGCGAACATTATATTCAATCATTGAATAATGATTATAAATACATATTATTTTTAAATTCACAAAAAAAATTAAGATATCTCACAACCTTTTATTTTACATTTAAAACATTTTATATACATTCCAGAATTATTATTTAACATTTCGGCTCCAAGAGCAATTTTCAAAATTGTTTAAATGAATATAAAATGTTTTGTTTTATTTCTTTTTTTCTCTAAACCTCCACAAAAAGTATTTTCTTCTCATTTTATCAAAACATCATCCATTCTTTTTTTTTTTTTCCTTTTCAAGCACCATATTATCTTTTGAGCTGAAGCCCCTTCCTCCTCCCAAAATGGAATATATAACCACATCTTATGAAAAAAAAATGATCTCTAAAAGTATTATTGTTCATGTGATTACATTTAATAGGATCTCATAAATCATTTTAACACCTTTTATTTTCTTATAGGTAGTAGTTTCTTACTTCTTCTTTCATAGTAATTATCGTTATACGTATTCAGAGAGACCTATCCCACCTAGGCCGATGGCGCAGGACCTATTCTCCCCACTCCCAAGATCTTTTATTGCTCACCTTTTCTTAAAAAGAGAGCAAGTGAAGCTATAATTAGACAAATGATAGTTCATATACAATTATACTTGCTGCAAGTTTTCCCATTGTCCCTTAGTATGGAATTTTTCATTCTGAAAATTCACAACCCTGCCAAAATGTGTTCCTCTTAAAATTCCGCCAAAATATGGGCTCTAAAAATGTTGATGGTGCAATTTCTTTTATATATATATAAAGTTAATTTTTTTTTATTTCTGTTAGCATTACAGGCCTTTAGATCTTTTGCCACCTTAACAAGCCTGTTCCATCTCTTCCTATCTTGGGCTATTTCTTTCCATTTATCTGCATGCAGCTCAATAGCAACTTTGTTGATTCTATCTATCCATCTGTTTTTTGGCCTTCCACGTGGTCTTTTACCCTCTATTGGTTCATTCATTGTTAATTAGAGACAACCAGATGGATTGCTATGAGCTACATGCCCTGTCCATCTTAACCTATGTACCTTCATATCAAGGGATATTGATTGACCAGTTTCTGTAAGCAGTTCTTTAATGAATAAGCACAAATTAGAAATAATGATATGAGCAGATTTTTCGAGATAATACCCAGTGGCCTAAATAGGAGTGGTCCCTAAATATGTTACAGGTCCCAGATTCGAATCCCGGCTCATGGTAGAAATATTTATTCTGTTTCATTGGCCGTGGGGCGACCATGGGTAGGTAGAACCTCCTGGGGCACACCCAGCTTCTATATAGTACCTATATACCCTGTATATAGTATCTAGATACCCTTAATTAAAATAATTAATCAAGGGGAAAAAACCTGGCAGTTGAGTGTGATCTCGACCAAATCACTTCCTTGCACAACCGAAGACCAAGAAACAGTGCTTTCCCTAAATAGTACTGAATCCAAGACCCTTCATGGGTTGTAGTGGTGCAGGTTTTTTTTTTTTTTTTTTTTTTTTACCCAGTGGCCTAAATAATTCTAGGTAAGAAGATCACGAGGCCATCTTCTTTTCAGACGCCTAGGAGGATTATCAAGACTGGAAGAACTAGTGAGGCTGAAAACAATGGGGCATTAAGGATTTGATACAATAGGAATTC